ATCTTTACTGGCAAACTGAGGTAAAGCAGGTTATTTATATAAGATTTTTTTAATTTCAAATCTCATAGAATTATTAATATTCATAAATTCTTCTCTTTTTCTTCTGAAAATGTTAAAACAGAAAGTAAAGCTATCCCTGTAAGAGGCCATGGAGGCCCTTAGGTTTGTGAGGCGTCGAGGCTCCCACATTTTCTAAACATTCCGCTCACAGATAGCGGTGAGTTTGTCAGCCTTACGAGCCGGCCGCCCTTTACCCCCAGGAATGCTCCTGGTACTCATTTCTACTAGAGACTGAGTGGACCCCAAGGCCATAATGAGGTACATATTTTGATAATTATCGGATTTTACCTTGAGTTGTTCCTGTATACAATAATAATGTTCCATTTGGCCTCATGTAATCTAGGCATTAAACTTAACTGATGCTAAGGCCGCGCCATAGCTTAGGCGGTTAGTCGCAGGCTTCTTACCGCGGCGGAACAAGTTCGATCCCAGGTCAGGTTATGTGGCATCTGTGGCGGAGAAAGTGGCAGTGGGGCAGGTTTTCTCCGCGTACTTCCGTTTCCCCTTGCCAATTCTTATTGTACCGACTACTCCAGACTCATCATCTATCATCCCGGGCTGGAACAATAGGCCAAATTATGGCACAACGTCCATGTTAGTTGGGTCCATTGTCACCACGGAATGGGGCGTCCTCAGGTTGCGGATGGAAGAGACGCCCTCCAGATATGGGGGGGGGGGGGGGGGGGGGGAATAGTGTGGGGAAGAACGCGGGGAGAGGGGAGAANGAGGGTAGCTGCGAATATATTGAGTAAGCAATCGCGGACAGCTGGCAAGGGCCAGTCCTTCAAGTTACGGGTTTGGCGTGGAGCTTTCGCTGATTACTTTAAAAATTAAACTGTTTACGAAATGTCACAAAGTGCCTCGGACCCCGACGGATTCCTAGGATAAACGACCTAAGATAAAGAAATTTCATATGAGATTTGGGACATGGAATATAAGAAGTATGCATGGGGCAGGTTAGCTCAGGGCAGTGGCGGAAGTACTAAGACGTAGGCGGGTAGACAATATTAAAATGGACCTTAAAGAGATAAGCTGGAGTAGTACAGACTGGATCGATTTGCCTCAAGATACAGACCAGTGGAGGGCTCTTGTGAACACGGCAATGAACCTTCGGGTTCCATAAAATTTGGAGGTATTTCTTGAGTAGTTAAACAATTGGCCTCTTCTCAAGAAGGGTTCAGTTAGTTAGTTAGTGGCAAACGTACCAAGTGGGCTCAGTTTCACCCATCCCCTAAAAAATAAAAAATCTATATTATCGAACACAAAATTCGTTCGGAATCCCATGTTACAGATTCCAATGCTTAATTTGAGAGGGACCTGTTGAGTATCTCTGAACACAAAGCCTGCCCAATTGCAACAGATGAGAGTGAACCAAATGTTTGAGAACGGGGAACAAACAACTGAAGTCTACTATATTTTGACGAAGCCTTGACGTTTGATTTCCTTTGGAATTGTAGAGGAAAGCCACAGACTTTCTCAGAAACCTCATTAACCTCTGCAACGTCTAGAACATACATATATACAGTATCCTGTCTACTAGACGCTTGTAATTCTAGGGATGTCTTATTACAGCGTCACGTATCGACCTTTGTCTTATCATCAGACTACGTTATGTATTATCTGAGGAACTGCTATTATTGGCAGACTGTGGGCAGTATCTGCAACGAAATTTCAGATCTTCAAATAAAATATTATGTTATTAATGTAATATATATATATATATATATATATATATATATATATATGGCTCTATAGCCCTTTGTTTTGCCTTGGCCATTTTTTAAGCTTCCTTCATTTTTCCACAGAGGTAGAACTCCTTGAACGGGGGATCAGCCCGTCGCAAAGCCGCTATCTGCACACAGGACAACACAAACACAGAATAAACACACACAGACATGAATTCATCAAGTGGGATTCGAACCCACGATCCCAGTGTTTAAGAGGACAGAGACAGTTCATGCCTTAGACCGCGCGGCCACTGTGAGAGACAATGTAATGAAATATATAGGTTAAATTATTAAAATTATTGCGCATTGCACTTATTACTGTTATCATTGTTATTGTTATTACTGTTCGAAATATGTCTGTGTAAATAAAAGTATAGTTTAAAATTTTAGATTTGTGTTGTGTCGACGGGATGTCACTCAAATAAATGGATCTATTTACAAAATACACAACGCGACGCTGAGATGCGATATAGCCATGCAACGACAATTAGAGCTATTTTGGAAGGTACACAAGATATTTATGACGCTCACAGTGGCCGCGAGGTTAAGGTATGAACTGTCTCTGCCCTCTTAAACACTGGGATCGTGGGTTTGAATCCAACTCAAGGCATGGATGTCTGTGTATGCGTTTGTTCTGTGTTTGTGCTGTCCTATGTGTAGTTAGCGTCCTTGTGACGGCCTGTCCTACCGACTCTGTAAGAAGGTCAAGGAACTGAAAAAGAGACCAAGGCCCATCAAAGGGCTGTAGAGCTGTAGATAAAAGACATTTAATTAAAAGCAATTAAGATAAATTGCAGGCTGTGTTGTGTAGTTTCTAGAGAGACCCTAATTAAGGAGTTCCGTACTTATTTGCCCTCCCTCTTATTTACTTCTTGAAACCGAGATGCGCCTGTGTCAAGCTGTCCGGTCTCTGTCCTGGTCGTAATCATAATCATCTTTGTCACAACCAATGGAGAACAAAATGGAGGACACTGTAATTTTTTTAACGCTAGTGGGGTGGGACTAAGTCCCTTGTACTGCGGCCACTTCTGGCCTATTGTACCAGCCCCAGATGATAGGTGAGGGTGATTGTGAAGCAATTGTTGGAATAAAGATTGGCAGGGGAAACCGAAGTACTCGGAGGAAACCTGTCCCAGCGCCACTTTGTCCACCACAAATCCCACTTGACCAGACACGAGATCGAACCCGGGCCGCCGCTGTGGGAAGCTAGCGACTAACCGCTTGAGCTATGGCGCGGCCCGAGCACACTGTAAAGAACCCATGTAAAATTCTTGACTTCTCTTCACCTAGGCAGAGAGAGGCGAGTCATAAGCCACAGAAGTCACTAACTGCAACTTTGGATACACAGAAATATTTATTTCCGGTTGCGTAATTACATGTTGAGAAACGATTATTACAATTGAACAAACTGTACACTTCTTCGTGTAAGAGCAAGCCACGGTATGAAATGCATGTCACAAGGCGAAACTCGAGAAGGAAATGTTCGCGCGCAAGAAGGGAATAAGATACATCGTTTGTGCAAGAATCGACGGGAAAACATACGGCTGATATTGTTATGGAAATAATGAAGAACAAGATAATAAATATTTCACTTTTGTGTTTGTTGACGATGAAACCGGAAACATAAAAAATAGTTTAAGAGCATAGGCATTAAAACTTTTTCCTGAACTTTCAACACGATATAGAGACTCCTGCGAAATGAGCACAACCTGCCCCCTAAGTTATTCTGCCAGAGAGCCATAACTGTTGAGTCGACGAATTATTTTCAGCATCAGCGAGATCCATTGTTGTATCGTGTACCTATATATACGTGGTACACTCGTTAAGTTCGTGGAATATGGTTTTATCGCGTCATATTACAAGGTAAGGAGAAAGCTCTAGATCGCATTAAGTGGAGGAACTGTTTTAGAAGAGACTGTGGACCTGTCTGACAGATTACTAATGAATGAATGAATTACAAGGTATTCCCATACACTTACACAGATCCACATCGGCCCTCAAAATAGTCACCGTTGGCCGCTATGCAAGTCTGCCAACATTGATATAGCTGCCGAAAACATACTGCTGAAACATACTGGAAGGAAATTCCAGTACGGCGCCTCTTGTGGCAATGACGACCTCCTCGGACGACTGAAATCTACGACCACGTAGCTTTGCTTTCACGCGGTGAAAGAGAAAGATATCGCATGGTGCGAGATCAGGTGAGTACGGAGGGTGTGGCAAAACGGTGACCTGTTGCCTTGCCAGTTCCTCTTGGACAAGAACAGAGCGATGTGCAGGGACGTTGTCGTGTAGCAACAGCCAATTCTTCCTACGCCAATTATTTCGCTAGGAACTTTGCTTAGTTTCTGGCAGAACTTGATGTTTACCCGTTGTTCAAACTGCCACATTTTCGTTTTCCGCCACTTGCATTTAACTGCAGTTCACAATAGAGGTTGTAGTTTTACTTAACACTGTTTGCACACAACTGCCTCTTGCTGTGACGAGAGATGAACCGACAGGGCATCATATCGTGCCTCAACGTATCCACTGTAGTGCACTGCAACGACGCTTTGCGGCCATTCCACGAACTTATTGACTATGGTAGTATATATATATATATACACACACACACACACACACACACACACACGGCTCTGTCAATTTTAAGCTTCACTGAGGTTTGAGTTGATGCAGTTCGTCGAGCTGCACAGCCGATGTGAATTCTCTGTCGAAACGCCTCTCCCTTTAAACCATTTATCATCCCCGATACGATATCTGCCTCTTTATTTTTTAAAAGTCTGTAAAAGATCGTTTCTTCTCTACCGTCAGCAATGACCGAAAGAGCCGTTACACTCGCATATCCCTCTATGACATCACTTTCCGTAGTCGTAAACTGTCAGGATTCAGTTCGGTAAGTCCTTCCATGGAACAGGAAAACTGCGAACAAAATTATCCCGTGCTTTTGGTGCGTTCATAAGAACAGAATTAACTGAGGCAGTGTACGAAGTTCCACACGCGATTCTGCACGCATGTCTTGTGTAGCGCACCCAGTATTTATCGGAGCGAGAAATATTTCGAACAAAAATCGTAGAAATGTGTAACACACATTTGACGCTCGGGATATTTTTGTCTCTATTTTTACAGTATCGAGAGAAGAAGGATACTAGATGCTCTCTTATCTCATAACTTTAGAACTGTTAAATTAATCTTTCTCTTTTTCAAATTTTGCAGTGGCGAGCGTTGCTCATCCGACTCCCCCGACCCCCACCCCACTGTATGGGGCAGCATTTCATACTCTAAGGAAAACAAGAGAACGAAAGCACCAGAATTGCTACGGTAGGAGCAAATTTCCTTGTAAATTTAGAAGGTAATTAGTATTTTAATAAAGCCGTGTTCTCATTGTTTGTCCGTCAGTTGAGATTTGCAGTTGCGAGAAGTGAGAAGCTGGTAGCTGAGGCCCGGGACAGTTCTGGAACCCAGAATTAAGGAAACGTCATCTGTTGAAACCGATACCAAGTAACGGCTAGTGAAAACTGAAATGACTTTATGTGTGCTGTAGTTACACTGAGACTCTAGTAAGTGTCTGTAGTTAGATTCTGTAAGTATTCAATAAATCCAATTACCAACCCAAATCTCGTTTATAGTCACTCAAGCAAGCGACAATACAGATGGTGCAAAGAGCTCAGGGCGAAGGGCGCCTAGGTGTCGCTCAGATTGTAGTCATGATGTATTTTGTGTGGGTACGTAAGTCTTCTAAAAGTATGCGCATTTCTATTGTTATATATTTGCAGGAAACAAAACACATTATGGCGACCTAGAGGTTTGATTGGCCGGTCACGGTAGCCGAGCGGTCTAAGGCAAGTACTGTCTTCGCTCGCTTGGAAACCTGGTTCGTGGGTTCGAATCCCACTCAGGGCATGGATGTTTAGTTTATGTGTGTGCGTTCTTCTGTGTTTGTGTACAGGTAAATGCCTTGCGACGAGCTGATCACCCGCCCAAGGGATCCTACCGAATGTGTAAGATGTAGAAAAAACGATGTGAACGGAGAAGTTCATGGAGGTAGGCCTAGGCCCACTGGGACTGTAGTGTCAAGGGGAAAAGGGGGGGGTGATTGTAGCAACTTCTGAAGCATTAGTGCCAGGAAGCGATAATAGGTATATGAAGAGATAACAAACGTTATTTCATGCGGCATGTTCCTATACACTGAAACTTACGAAGAGCTTAACACTCGATATTCTGAGGCATTATCTGGCTAGCTTAATGAACTAAAAATCAATACCATTACTTCCACGGAAACCACAGATTGAATACAGATATGTATTTGGCTTATAATGGCCTAACTGGAATTTCCCAGATAACAGCTCAGTAATCAATTATGGCATATTTAATATAAATATGGTCCAGTTTTTGAGGTTGGCTCTTTCTGACGGACCTAACGGAGTGTCTCCCGCCTCTCGTCTTAGGATGGAAACCGTTCCAGTTTCCCGAAAGTTGTGTTCCTTTGCGTTTTTTAGAACACCAGATGATAGAGTCCAAAAAGCCAGTAATCCTGAACAAAATAATAATTTTTAATCAAAATTTGAAGATTCGATACGTTCATAAGCTGTCTGTGTGATAAATGTCCCTTACCTGTCTATTGTGGTTCATTAGTCATTACTCGGTTGCTTAATTGCTTTCAGTTCTTCAGAAGGGGGACCTTCTGTCACACTACAGACTCTCAGAACCCTCCACTGAGTTCCGCCTCCCTCGCTAGAGCCCCGAAATTTGCGATAGATTTCTGTACGCAGTATTGATAGTATGCAATCAAAATGGAGAAATTAATAACTGTGCCTAGTAACACGACGTCCGCAGAAATAACCATTAAAGTCAATACAGTCTACAGACACCTGCTCACGCTAGATCATCGCTCGCAGATTTTTTATAGCCTGAAGATGGAGTTGATACGTTCCTCCGTAACGTCGGTTAACAAAATATCTACACGGCGCCACATCCCAGAAGACGGCATTCTTCATAGTCACCGCCGTGAAAACCTCAAATCTTACATAAACTGAATACAAACAAATAAACTTAGTGGCTTTAGTCCGCACGCTAACTATACCGACTGGGCGATCACCGCTTGTCGGCGAAGATAGTGCCATCTTTAGCCGATAGAGGGTGTCGCGCGGTCAGCGCAGCGGATCCCCACGGTCGTTAATCTCTGTTTTCTAGACCGGAACCGCTATTTCCTTGAAATAGCTCCTCAATTATCCTCGAAAGGCCGAGTGGACCCCGTTACACACCCACTACTACTCAGAAAATCTGGTAGTGCCGGGACCTCTGGATCTTTAGCCAGAAACTCTGACCACGAGACCACAGAGGCGGCCACATAAAGTGAATACACTTTTTAAAAAGTTATAACTGACACAGTCTCAGCGACGTAACGATAGAGTAAGAACATATTTCCTTACGAAATAAGGAACACCCACACAGCCTGAAGAACACTCCTAGCCCTAACAACTCGCATTGATATTTCAGAATGATGTTTAACAAATACTGCAAACAATTTATCTTGTAGTTTGTGGCAGTTCATATATTGCTTTCGAGAACTGAAGCTTACACAATAAAGAAATGTAGATACACTTCTCGTAAACTGTCATACTGCGTGTGAAATATCGAAAAACTGTCTGTTTTGTAACGGACCTCGTCTGAATGAAAAGATAAATGTCATATTTGGTACCCGGTTTAGGAAAGGAAGTCTTATGTTGCTAATTTATCAGCTAGACCTTCAATATATGAATTCAGCTTCTGAGAAAAATAATGAAAACGGTATTCTCGATCCAATCACATGAAATCCCACAAGGCCGGGGATTTTCTGAGGCAGTCTAAAAGAAAAGGGGAACATGAATGATCACATGCATAAAACCCATTTCTGACGCAATCTCACCCCCACATTCATGAATTAGGAAGCAATTTTTCTTCAAGTGGTAGAGTGTAAGTGAATTTGAAGGTACGGAAATTGGTGTTACCGTAGCTGTCCCTGACGTGTGCCTGCTATCAACACACGCATGAATAGTGTGCTCCATCGCATTCGTTTTCAATCGGTAAATAACTTTTGCCTCTTTCAATAGGCCTACATTTATTCTCTCAATGGATAGCGATTTATCATGTAGAATTGGATTTTTAAAGTGAAGGAAGGTTTATCAAACTCAAGGCTATACGATGGATTCAAACATTACAATTTTTGTCGAGAAATGCCCAATTTAATATTTTCCTAAGGTTCTAAATTAGAACCGGTTTAAGAGACTATGCATTTATTGATAGAATATGGAACTTAAATATTTCTCATTTTTTCTGACCACAGGCTGACTTTAAAAACTTGTTATTTCTGTTGAATTACATTTGGCGCTAACCACCCTGAGGGATATAACGAAAAGAAAAATAAGTGGCAGCTGAATTTAGTAGGTCCACTGCTATGATTTGAGACTGTAAAAGCACATTCTCGTTAGAGTTACACTTAGAGTCTGCACCCTGATGGTCAAAAAGTAAAGTGAAGGTGGAAACTAGCAACACGCATGCTCAAAGCTGCTTCCAAAATGCTTCCTGTTGGACACTTACGTAACTTATCCTTCGATCCTGAACTTGGAGGAATTACTTGTGTATGAAAAGTTTCTTAATTTCTACCGGACTACACGGTGTCACATCCCACCGATATGTGGGCTCCAAATTATAAATGGTACTGCGATTTATGTGTGATGGATTTGAAAGAGCCAGTGAGAAAAACGGTTGTTACATTTTGAGGAAAACCGTGAAGAACGACGGTCAGGATATCCGGTCTTCCAGTATTTCCTGACTATGAGGGAGGGGGGTGATGATAATCATTCCAACACTGTGTTTCCTGCCCATTTACTGATGATGCACAAGTTTTACTGCAAAGAGGAACACTGTATGGGACATAATTTTATTTCGCCTAATGCTTCGTCAAGCGGGCGCCATATACGAGAAAGTTCCAAGGAGCTGCCATATAATCTAATGAGTTGAGTTTCCCTACGATGGGCCGTTACGAAGGAAGTAAATAGAATAAGTGTTACTAAAGTTTTTGGACTTTGTCCAGCGTCCGGTATTCTACAAAAAAAAAAAACTATGGAACATAACGTTTCGGAAACTCTTGTGTTCTCTCGTCTTTTAGAACACCGGGCTTTGGACAAATCCTAAAAACCCTAATAATTCTGAGTGTCAAAACCCTTTAAAATCTATTAAAAGTAAAGAGAAGCTCTGTAGAGTAGATTCTGCAATTGCATTTCCACGACGGGCGTCCGCGAGTTAATCTCACACAAACTGTTTACTGGAGACCACCAATAGTATTCACTGAAATCAGCAAAGTATTCTTTCGAGATGAACGTACTATCACATGATTAAATGACTATAGACAGGATTTGGATTGGTAATCGGATTTATTTTAAACTTACACTCATAACTTCAAATAACTACGACAGTCTTACTGAATTACAAGCTCAAAAGGTCATTGTATCTACAGCACACATAAATTCTTCTCAGTCGTCACTATCCCTTGCTTGGTAGCGGCTTTCAACGGCGAACGTTCCGCTTCCTCTGGGTTCCCGAACTGTCCCCCGCCTCAGCTACAAACTTCTCACTTCTCACAACTGCAACTCTCAGCCGACTCAAATGTGGACGTTCCTCTACTCCCGCGCTCACATTCTCGCAGGCTGGCGACCATCTCACATAAACCTCTTATTCGACTAACTGTCGCCTCAAGACTGTCTCATAACGGCAGTTGGTCCTCCTTATATAGAGTCCCGGCATGGACCCCACAGAAAACCTTCTTCCTTTATTGCGTATTCCCAAGTCAAAGTGGAAGTCGCACTGCGACTGACGGTCAGTCATTCAGTTTTGGTGTCGAGCTCCATCTGGGGCTCATGACCAGATATTTATTACTGTTTGAGAGTTACGGTCTTGATTTTGTGAGACGTCTTCTCTGGCGAAAGGACGGGTCTGCCTTTTGTATATGCTGCTGACCCTTGCCAGAGCAGTGTTTCTGGGATCCGAGTCCCTTGGGACTGCCACGACATTTTACTGTCTCAGATTTGATATTTCCTCTTTCGTCGCCTCCTACGACTTTACGTCTTCTCTGAATTCACTTCTCATATTGCACAGACACCATAGAAAACCACCTGTTATTGTAGACGTATTTATAGTTCCGTTGCTTAGAAAAGAATTGCATAACACCATCGTTCTCCTGTTGCCTGGCACGGACGACATAGAAAACACAGCCTCCTTTATTTTTGCGTAAACTAATAACAAACTCTTTATCAAGAATTTGTCTTCGCGAGAATTCTTTT